GCAATATAAGGATGCCCTCCATAGTCTTCCAGTTACCTTTTTCTGCTCATTTGCATCCAGTTACCTATTCTGAAGATAAAGATATTGTCTACTTTTTCTTTGGAAAGTATAGTAGCAAGCTCTGTAGTCTACAATGGGACAGACAAGGCAAAGGTTGAGCCTTGGTCAAGTCTAGATGCCCCAGCAAGCCTCCCCAAGGAAACTGCATCAATTGATGGCTTCTAAAAAGCTTTCCCTCAAAATAGTGGAAATAGCAGGCTTGCAAGCAGTTTTGGAAGGAACCAGAACACCTGAGAGGTTAAATATAAGAAATTTAAGGATGGAAATGATTCTAAATAATTGGCTAAGTAGTGATAGACAAGGAATTTGGCAGTACTAACATGCCTTGAGAGAAATTAAGTAGGTTGCAAAGGAGAGGGTCAATTTATTTGAATGGTACCTAGATCAGCAAATTGCAAGGTGTATACAACAGTGCAAAAGCACAGGGGGCTTTTTGCACCCAAAGTGAAAGGTGCAAGGGGGAAGCATGCGCCTTTTGAAGAAAGACATAAAATTCTTAAACATTTTAAAAATGCATAAAATGCAAAAGAAACAGTCATAATGTTGGAGCAATTACATGTACATAATCACTGCAAATATTACTTTTTCTATGATTAAAAAGAAAGGTTATCAGTAAAAAGAAGAAGCTCGCCCTCCAAATTTGTGACCTTGACACCTAGGCTCATGTGGAAAAATAGCTTTAAAGCTGTACCAAGCTAACCACTTAGGGGCGTTCTACAACATGAATTGTTTTTCTTGTTTCCAGTTCCAAAAACAAATCAAAACCATCTGGTTTGAAATCAGATTGTTTCTTAAAACAAAAACATAAAAAACATGTCCTTGAATCTGGTTTTAAAAACATGTTTTCATTTGATTATTTAGCATCATATTCCCTAAATCATATAATTTCTATACTAGAAAATTTGTTTTTGTTTTAAAAACCATTATTTTGTCAGTTCCGAAAACATGTAATGTTTTTTGAAACAAAACCAACCTATTTTTCCCTTTGAAAACAAAAGCAGAGTTCAAGAACATGTTTTTATTTTTGCTGATGTGGTGATTCAAAAAACAAATGAAAATAACATTTATGTTGTAGAACACCCCCTTAGTAATTAGAATATTGTTTTAAAGTGAGAAGCATAACTAACGAATAAGGGGTTCCTAGAGCCTAAAGTGCAATGCCATGCCACTTAAAAAAAAAAAAAAAAAACAAATATACAAGAATATGCAAATCTCTAAATTCTGAAATAAAATATTTCATAAAGCTCAATAACTAAGGTGATGTTTGGTTAGGCTTTCTAAAAAAGATCTTTCACAGCTCAAAAATTCAAAAGATCTTGTTCAGTAACATGCTCTCCAAATACTTTCTTTTCACCTCACAAGAATGCTAAATGATGGAAACGTATTCTGGTTGTCATAAAAATAACTTGCTTGATCAATGTCCTCAAGCTTGGACCAGACCCAATGGTTGGATCATAGAAATGGAATTAATAGCCAAAACAGTTTTAGGTTGATTGGTTGTTAAAAATATTGAGTTGGTCAAACCTTTTTAGTACATGTGCAAACTAATGATGTAACCTATAATAATTATTATTTTAAGCTTATTTCGATACAAAAAATTAATAGATGATCAAAAGTTGTTTGTTATTTTTTCACTTGTTAGAGATTAATTATCTTTTTCAAAATTTTTAATTTTATTCATTTCCATAAATAATAATAATTCTCACTTATCACACTTATTTTTGGATTAATATGATGGATATATAATATTAGATCCATGCTTGCTTTTGCAAATTTTCTACATTTTTTTTTGTTTTTGTTTTGAACCTTATATTATGTCATGGGTTGAAACATTTGATCTAGATAGTTGCATCCCTAATCTTCCACCCGAGGGAAAAAAAAAATGGTTCCATTTTTGAGTATTTTTAAAACATTGATTATAGAATGGAAACTTAATGGCAAAGATTGGAAGAAAGCTTCAAAGGGTAATTTTGCCATTTTGAAATTATTTAATATGCACCTAATGTCGCGTGATGGTGTTAACTAACAATAGGTCCCAATTTTAGCAAAAAGTCAGGTGAAGAGAATCCCACAAAGTGTGCCTCACCTGTGAGCCTAGACGTACCCAAACTTTGCCTAAACACTGATGTAGATGAGACTATGGTAAAAGCCCTAAGTCACCATCTTAGAGAGAGTTCTGGTTAAGTACTACATGTCTGTTTTTTAATGTTTGGTAGCTGACAACTTTATTAATAGAAGCAAAGAAGGAGAAATGTCAAGAAACTCTATCATAAAATGGAGAAAAACAGGCAAGAAAATACATATAACAAGTGATGAAATAAGTCAAAAAAATAAATATTAGTATTAAGACAAGGGTTTAGGATTGTGGCTTTATACTAAGGGCCACTTGGCCATGGAGATTCTCTCATGCCAGTCTATAATTTGTAATTTATTTTGGTACCAAGCTTCCTTTTTTTTTCATATGGTGTCTTGTTCGGGTGTTTGTACTTTCTCTGGTTGATTTGGAATAAAATATCAGTTGCCTATAAAAAATTAAAAAGAGGAATTCAAAACAACTTGGCTTCAGAGATTTTGAGGTAGAAGGTGATTCTAAGATCACTATGGACAGGATGAGAATGGAAAATTTGAGAGCTTGAAATCACAGATCAGCTATGCAAGAGGTGTGGCACCTAGAAAAAGAAATGGGAGCCCGATTCAGAATTTCTGATGGGCTACAAGAACAGCAAATGGCTTGGCTGATGCACTCGCCWAGCATGGGACAACTGGACAATCAGGGCGTAACTGGTTTGGGCTTCTTTGTAAATTAACTGTCACATTGTAAGGTTGTATTACATGATGCTGTATCAGTGTAACTTTTGTTTTTTTTTTTTGGGTGGTAGGCAACAAGATTCATTCATTCATTAATATTAAATAGAATTCTTGAAGCATTTATACAAAGTGTTTAGCATAGAAGCTATCTCCCCCTTTTATAAACAAACAATATCATACTAGATACTACATAACTGCCCAAAATAATCGATCCCTATGTGCCCCTTTCTTTGCTAAGTATCAACAATGTTGTTCGCTAATCTTTGCACCCCCTGAATGGCTGAACTTGCACTTGTATACCCCTCATTAAATAGTTGAACTTTTTCCATTTCATTTCTGCACATCCATTGAGTTTCCTTTCTATTCATTAAGCCCACATTAAATATTTGCACCCCATGAACTTGCACTTTCATTTCATACCAGATTTAGTTAAAACTTTCTGTGTAAATTTTATATACAACACCTCTAGCTGTGTCCTTGTTATATCTGAGTAACATAGCTTGCCACACGGTATGATACTCTATTAAAGTCATCTGTAAAGAAATCATTCAGTTCCTCTCTCACTAAGGTGTAGTATCCAATGAACCACATTAACTGTAAGTTGTAACAGAACAATTAAAATGTCCCTGCCCCAATTGTTGGAGTATATCTATCTGGCATGTACTAGTTACTACAGTTACCTAGTTGGTTTTGACTATTATTTTAGTGTTTTTAGAGGCATTGAGATATGCCTGTGGCTGGGTCTCCTTAGGGAACATGTATATGGCATACTCATAAGGTTTGAGTGAAGAATAGGCCTTTTGACACCTTAAATTCAAGGCATGAGCGTCATGACCATGTAAAATGGCTCTAAGAATACATAAAGTCAGCAAGAAATGCTATAAGTTATTTCTATTTTTATTTAATTCTCAACAAGAAGAAGGATTTATGTAAGTTAAACACTACAGTACCAATAAAGCACAAAATTCCAAATTTAAACACAAAACAAAATTTGTACTTTTCTTATGAGTAACTGAACAAAAAATTTTACTTATATGTGTCCTTTTTTTCCTGAAAAGGGTAAGCCTGTGATGTTTCTGTCTAGGAAAGAAACTTACCTTGCACTTTACTGTTTCAAGATGCTGCTTCATACTTCATATATCCAAGATATAAATGCACAAACAAAGTGACGTGACTTACAATTGCAACTAGAATGATGAAACAGAGCTCAAAATCAAACTGATGCAGTAGCATCAAAATCCCAGGATCTACCGATGTAGTAATCTAAATACAGTCAACAAGATCAAAAAGAACCTTTGTATTCCACGAAGAGATTCCAATTTAATGAGCCTATAGAATTATCTATTTCAATTAACATAAATAGGGTGATCTACTCAGATATTGACATCCAGTATATTTAAGGGGATTACCTGTTCCGAAACTATAGACCAGTGGCAGAGCCTACTACTTTCCAAGCCATACTGAGACCAAAAAATAAAAACAACCAACCAAGGTGCTACAACAGTAACAGGGCAATCAGAAATGACACCCATGTTGAATAGATCTTGTTTCCTGAATTCATCCGATAATTATTTTTTTTTTTTGATAATTGTTCATCCGACGTTTATATCTCCAGGGAAAAAAAAAAAAAAAAAAAGAGACGCAAGTGTGGAACCATTCACCATCTTAAACCAGAAATAAAAACATAAGAACCAGATGAACTCATAAGAGACATTGCATACATCTTAAAATATCGGAATTCATAAAAGACACTATAAAATCATTCTCACTTTAGTAAGACCCAAATTTTACCATTGCACCAAGCAATGGCCCATAAGATATTAGACCAACCAATATGGACCAAGAATGAATATAACTACAATGAACAAGATAACAAAATCAATAGAATTTCGCGAGAGAAACGAGCTTGACCAAAATTACAATCAAATCACAAAGATAAATCGTATAAGAATTCTGACCAAAGATTACCGCATATATTCTTTCTGGAATTCTGAGCTTCATTACCAAATTTCAGTTTTCACGTTGATTGACATATGTTTATGAACAAAATCAGTAATAAACCCAAAAGGCATGATGATTTAAATCAATACCCTAGTTTCCCCTCCCAAAATAGGAAAAAAATAATAGGTTACCTTGGAAGGATCAACCTTCTGAAAGTTCTTAACGACGTTGATTATGCGATCAGCAACCTCTGATTTGTCGAGGAAGGAGCCCCTAATCTCCTCGGAGAAATGGCGCCGAAGGAGATTGAACGAGAAAACGAATGGAGCTTGACTTCGCCCTTGTACATTCACTCTCAGATGCTTCAGAATAGCATTTCTGGCCGCCATCGGAGCTTCCGGAGTAGAGCTTGCAAGTTGCAACAATCACTTTTCCTTCGGAAGTGAAGAATGAAATGGAGATTTATATAAGAAGCCACAAGCATTCGTTTGTTTACCAGAAGACCCTAACTGACGTGAGAACTGAGAAGTAAATTGCAAAGCAACGCTAAGTCGCCAATAGTACACATTTTACAAGCGCGTGGGAGCTACGACTTATTCATTTGCTGGCACGTGGAGGTGGCTAACGATAATACTCAGATATCCTCGTAGATATGAACAATCGGGTCGGGTAAGGTAGGGGTGCAAATGGATTGAATCCGATCTGATGATTTGAACATTCCTTATCTGATATTCATATGGGAAAATAGGAATTCAATTGAATTCAGGATTTTTTACTCTGACAATCCTTGTATATTTTAAATATCATTTTTGCCCTTGTGTCACAAGTGACCATTTTGCCGCGCCTTCAAGTGCCATTACCACGTCCACAGCATGCCATCCGAGTGTCCAAGTGTGTGTCTTGGGTGGGACATTGCATGTATTTTGTATGGAGGGAGTGTCAATAGCATTATTATAATTATGTAGTATCATTTTTCATCTTTTTTATGTTTCTTATTGTCACTCCCCCAAAATCTTAACGTAMTCTTTGAGGGGAGGTAAGTAATCGAGTGAGTCAATAGCGTGTAAAGGTTAAGCACGRGATCCCCTCGACATTGAACTGTGTGCTTGTGCTTACCATCAATCAATGCAATACAAGTAGCCTTTTGACTAATTTTTGTGCCTTCTTGTTGCCTTTTATGTGTTATTGTTTGCATTTGTAGGCTTTCTCGACCCCATCGAGCACCGCACGGGGCCTCGTCGAATAGCCCCGTGACAGTTGGTATCAGAGCAGGAGTTCCTTTCTAGCCATTCGACCCGCGACGCAAGTGACAGCATGAAGCACAACAGGGACATCATGGAGGAGATCGAGCATGGACTCTCCACATCCCATGAGCGCGATGATGCGCCCGCCGACAACATCGACAAGGACAAGGCACTAAAGCCTAGCAAATGTGAGAAATCCACCAACAAGCATGCCGCCATTGACTTGCGCATGCTATGTTGCGAAGCCACTATAGGTGAGATGCGAGATTCGTTAGACGAGCTACACCAAAATATGGATTTCATGGAGAGTACACTGGTGGAAGTGGAAGGCCGCCTAAGCGGAGTCGTGGATGAGGTCCGTGACAAACTCAATGGCACGCTCAAGGAAATTTGCAGCACCATGCGCTAACAAGAAGGAAGCTCATCAAACTCGCATGTCCAAGACAAGCTTGAGAGATTGCAAGCGCAATTCGACGAGATGAAGAGAGAGTGGGCAACATGGAGAAGAACCATCTCCACATCAATGGCCACTCAGGCTGAACTGAATGAGATGAAGACTGAATGGGTAGCTTTGAAGTCCGCCCTAAACACCTCCGCTGATGTCCAAGCTCAACTTGAGGAAATCAAGGGGGAGTGCCCTGTCATGAAAAGAGCAATTGCCAACCCGGCCAGCACCTCAGCCTTGCACACTCCTTCCTAGATCAAGATTTGGGAGCCAACTCCCTATTCAAGCACTCGYGATGCACAAGAGCTCGACAACTTCTTGTGGCAAATGGAACAACACCTTACTGTAGCCAATGTGGTTGATGAAAGGACTCAGGTATGTACAGCTACATTGTACTTAATTGATACAACTACATTGTGGTGGCGCAGAAAGTGTGTTGACATAGAACGCGGTATGTGCACCATTCAATCATGGGCCGATTTTAAGCGAGAGTTGAAGAGACAGTTCTATCCAGAGAATGTAGAGTTCCTTGCCCGTCGAAGGATAAAGTCCCTTAAGCACGGTGACTCGCTCCACGAGTATGTGAAGGAATTCTCTGCTCTCACATTAGAAGTCATCGACATGTCAGATAAAGACCTATTGTTCAACTTCATGGATGGCCTAAAGCCTTGAGCCGAGCTCGAGCTCCAGCGATGCAATGTTCAAGACCTTGTCTCTGCCATGGTCGTGGCTAAACAACTTAGTGAACTGAGATTGTCGAATGGTGAAAGGAGCAAGCCAGCCAGCCCACGTGCCGCACATTTGAGTGGGGGAGATAGACAACCAAGTCCCCCGAGAGGGAAGCAGCCCTATCACAACTAGCCAGCACAGTACCATAAGGGAAAGCACCCACAAAGAAGTCGCAGCTCCTACAACAACAACTACCAAGGTAGACCAACTTGTCCGCCTACATGCTACATTTGTGGGGAGGAACACTTGACAAGACATTGCCCGAACGGGAGAAGCTAAATGCCCTCATTGCTAAGTTGAGTGATGACGAGCATAGTGATGGGCGCCCTACAACTTTTCAATACTATGATGAAGAAAGGGGCTACCTCCAAACAGCCCGTCTCAGTTAAGAGATGACTGAGGTATGTTGATATAACCCTTGGCGGGAGGCCAACTAGGGCCCTAGTTGACACAGGGGCCACTCACAACTTCATATCCATTGTAGAGGCCAAAAGACTTAATTTGGCCATCTCCAAAGAGCCCGGCTGGTCCAAAGCAGTCAACACACATGCCAAACCTACTGAAGGCATGGCTTGCCAAGTAAGACTACAACTCGACACCTGGGATGGAGAGATTGACCCCTCCGTTGTTCACATGGATGACTTCGATGTTGTCCTTGGAATGGACTTCATGATATAGGCAAAAGCGTCACCGATGCCTCACCTTGACACTCTGATGATCTTGGACGAGCAGTCACCTTGCATGGTCAACATGATCGCCACGACCAGTACCAAGAAGAATCAAGTCTCAGCCTTGCAACTCCAACACCAACCTCAACCTCAAGGGATGGCAAAGAGATCTACAACCACCACCACTATTGTAACTAGAAGTGATCGCAGCGACTCTAGGAAGAAGTCAACGCCAGCATCAGTGCCAACACCGCCACAGCACCGGAAGCCACCTTTGTAGCAGAAGCCTCATATGCCCACAACTAATGGGCCCAAGAGAAGACCCAAGGCTAACTTCAACTATAATCGTACCCATTACCTCAATCATCGGGGAGATCGAGTGTCACCCAAGCAATATAGGAATCACATTCTCACCCCTCCTCAAGCCAAACCACGTAGTAGCACGATGAGCAGCCATCCTTGGGCATAAATGCAGGGGAACCAATACCCAAAAAATCCAAACCATCACTTTGACCTAGCCTTGGCCACCAATTTTCCTACCACCATCAGGGAACGTCCAAAATCCTACCTTGAAGCAGCCAGGCAAGGACTTAACTTAGGGACTAGCCATCCACCCAACCTCCTATTCAGGTGGATGGCTAGTCCCACCATCAAGGACATCCACAAGCCATCCACCCAACCTCCTATTCGGGCCTAGGAAGAAACCTTGTCTGTGGAGTAGTTGAAGAACCTTCCTTCACCAACAAGAAGTTTGAGCCACAAGCAGAAGGTGGTCTTCRAGGACGAAGACGGAATTGAGTGGGGGAGAATGTCACAAGTAACCATTTTGCTGCGCCTTCAAGTGCCATCACCACACCCACAACATGCCATCCGAGTGTCCAAGTGTGTGTCTTGGGTGGGACATTGCATGTATTTTGTATTGGGGGAGGGGGGGGCGATGGGGATTGCCAATGGCATTTATTGTAATTCTGTAGTATGATTTTTCACCTTTTTGATGTTTCTTATTGTCACTCCCCCAAAAACTTAACGTACTCTTTGACGGGAGGTAGGTAGTCGAGTGAATCAATAGCGTGTAAAGTTTAAGCACGGGATCCCCTCTACATTGAACTGTGTGCTTGTGCTTACCATCAATCAATGCAATACAAGTAGCCTTTTGACTAATTTGTGTGCCTTCTTGTTGCCTTTTGTGTGTTTTTGCTTGCATTCGTAGCCTTTCTCGACCCCATCAAGCGCCGCACGGGGCCTTATCGAATAGCCCTGTGACACTTGTACAATCGAAAGGGCTAATTTAGACCTTAGACTTCAAAAAAAGAAAAGGGCCAACCGTAGATARATAGATCATCACCTATGCCATTTGAGGTCGATTAAAATAATGAAAAATGTTGAGTTGGCATGCCCATTCAGCATATGATATCTCTACGAGGCCCAGTCTTGAACGGTAAGCCCTACACGTCAACCATTGTTTTTGATCATTTACCCAAACTTCTTTCTTGCAAAATATCTTTGATCATCAGCTACTCTAGTCCGATCGTCTTCTCCAACCAACTCCTCCTTTGTTGTCATTCTCTGTTCATATCTTTCTTCATCTCATTAGAGGTTTGGAACAATGTATTTTGAGTAATGTTTAGGTGTTTAAACGAGTATAATAATTAGGTTTCTTGATATTACACTCTGAAATGGAATCACACTATGTATATGAGGCAAAAACAAATTTCATTATCATGCATCAAGCAGATGCCATTGTTCATTACAACTCATTCATTGTTACAACACAATAACAAGAAGCCTATCATATCCATCTTCTAAAGGCAACATAACTAATTAATTAGGCCAATACAGAAAAACCAAAGCAAAAAACATGTCTTCTTGTATATGCAACTTCCTTCATATCCATCAATTCCCCCCTTAATTCTCTAAGCTCCTTAATAATACATTTATGTGACAATCGTCCAAAATGACTACCCTCCAAACCTTCACACAAACATTTTCTCTTCAGTTCTTCAATTTGCCTCATCAACGACCTTTCCCTTTTCAAGAAGTTCCTTAATCACCTCAACTACCCTTTTTGGAAACTTTTCTATATCGTGCTACCTAAAGAAATCACACCAATTTTCCTACAAACAAAGTGCTTCCTTAGAATAAAAAAAAAAATTAAAAGAAGAAACCATATTTACACATTACCTTGTATCTTGGACGACCATAGAACCTCCTACTAGGATTGTACAAGCTACCATTCTAGGAGCTTTTAGGTCACAATGACAAAATATAGGTTGCCCTTCGTAGTCAAAGCTCCGAGACCGGTGACTTGAGTTTGATGATGATGACCCTTCCATTTCTGCAACAATGGCATTAAATGATGACGAAGAAGAGGGCAAGGTTAATCAAACTCCTGGTGTGATGTAGAAGATAACAACTGTATGTGTCTTTAT